CTGCTCAACCCTTAGACGGAGCTGGTTGTTCGCAAAGGCGGTTTTCAAAGACCACTGCTGCCATGTAGTCATACAAAACTTAACCTGGTTAGAATCGTTTTAAACTATTTTATTTATAAAATTTTTTACAAAAAATTTTATTTTAATCCTATTTATAGCACCAGCAACTACAGTACACACGAGGAACGTGTTATCAAATTAGAGGCTGAGTTAGAAGAACTAGAAATTCCACCACCGGAGCGAAACGGCCAAAGTTTACTTTACAAAAAAATTATAAGGAAAAAGATGCCTATTTACAGTTTGAAGTAATATTTACAATTATAAAAGTTTATAATTATAGACTATATAGAAACTATAGCGATAAGGTGTTTTATTAATGATTGCATTTATATTTCTTACAGTTAAAACGGTACAAAACCTACAGTGTATTATTAAGATCTAAACTAACTCAATACCCAAGTCCAGAATTAGCTGGAACGATGGCGTTACGGAGGAATGTATTGTTGCCCCGCCGATTCCTGACAGGCCCTTACCTGGAATGTTAAATCACAGGTGAGAATGGATAAAATAAAAAGAGTATATTTTCATTAAAATTTACTGATCATCAGTGAGAACTTTATTTGGTTATACTTGAAACTTTAGTTCGGTTTGAATTATTTAATAATTTAACTGTGAGATTGACGAATCATCATAATTCATCATGAAGAAGTGTCAGAGTTTTACATATTTCTTCAAATGTGAAAATAATAAAATTCATCAATAATAATTCTTACATATTTAATATATGTATGTATTATATTTAAGAGTGCACATCAATCGTGATTAATACAAAACCCAGAACGGAATATTTCTCTATATGGTGCATCTTCTGAAAATAGTAATTCCTAACTTAAATGATTTTTTATAAAAACAACTTTTAGACGTATAATATTTATATTGGTAGTATAATTTTACAGCAAAAATTTGGATTTCTGATCTTTGTCTGATCAACTAATCAATCGATTTGAATTACACAAAAAAAATTCAACTTGTATTGACAGTGTGATGTTCAGTGTTTGAGAAATAATGAAAAAAATAAGTTTATCACGTTGACTGCCAACTATGAGATAACTTGAATTGTGATCTTTTCTAGGACAACTACATGTTGTCTCGTCCTGCGAGTTTCCAGTTTTGTGTAACTCAAATATAACAGTGCTAATATCGATGTTTAGTTTCTCGGAATTAATGAAAAACTAATCGTGCGTGGCATCGTGCCTTGAGGCAAATTACTGACACTTCCCGAACTTTTTAAAAATTTTAAATTTTTCAAAAAATGACTTTAAAAAACAAAACTTTTTAGAGAAAATGAAGTTTTTTTTAATATTTTGAAATATTTTGGAAATTTTGATCTTTGTTTAAAAGCAAACGCCCTGCTTTAGCTGCATAGAGATGAAATATCGAAGCGCGTAAGTGCCGCGTAGCAGTCTAACGGACAAACGATGTTACGGAACCGAAAGAAATGTAAACAAAATTCATACGCATTATTAAAATCTTCATAAAATATCATTTTTGACCGCCGAATGTCTTTTTTTTATTTTTTTTACTGGATCTCTGAAACCGCTAGCCCTGCCTTCCCAAAATTTCACCAGTTTTTTATCTTGTAAATGCAACTAAAATGTTTTTTGAATCATAAAAATCGGACGCTCCGTTCTCTCTAAAAATTAATTACCATTTTTGGCACTTTTGCCCCGTATCTTCGGAACGGCTAGACCTACCTTCGCCAAAAATTAATCAGCACGTCTTCTCATCAATACGAATCGAATGTTTTTTGAATTATTTAAATCGGTTGATCGGTGTTGCCGAAATCGTCGACGAAAATTTGTATCCGAACATACACACACACACATATACATTCATATTATACCCAGGCGGTATTGAGTCCGACATACCCAGACAAAAGACCAATCTGGCATAAAGGCATTTCCTTCGCTATACAAAACACATACGTTTTGTATTTTTTCTAAGGCATGCCAAAATGTTCAGAAACCTCTGAAACGTAAAGATATATAAAAAATTTCATTTTCGATTTTTTTGCGATTACTATAACTTGCTCTACGGGGAATTAATTAAGGCTGGCTTGAATGAATACAAAATTGATCAATAATCGAGCAAGAAACAATTTTATCATATTTTATTGATTGCGAACATATTTTTTTAAAATTTGTATGTGCACTAGAAATAGAGTTTTTAATAATATGTATAATGTGATTCGAATCAAATTGTCATTTTTGACCAGGATTTTTTAAAATTGCCGCGACATTCAACGTGGTAACTTAAATTTTATGAAAATTTAACCTTTTGCTCTCCGTTAGTCGTATGCTGCGGATCAGCTACGGCTATCGAAGCGGATTAGCGAAGGATTAAGACTAGATTAAGTCATTAATCTCCAATCTAAGACTATAATCGATGTTTAATTATTTTCCAGGTACAACAGGTCCGCAATGAACACCTTAAACAATATGAATTACCACACAACGAACGGCGACGGCGAGTACCCCGGCGAGATGTTGAGCAGATCGTCCGACTCCGAGCACAACTCCCTGATGCAGCAGGCTGCTTCGAATTACAAGTACGAAAGCATTAATCATTGTAATAGTCCTTCGTCTGGTGGTGGAAATAGTAATCAATTTGTCATTAATTCGCAATTCTCTAATTACGGTAGTAGCATTAACCAATTAGGCGGTGTCGGTAACCATCAATACAATGTAAATAGCTCGCATTTCGGCGTAACAAACGCCCAATTTAGCAGACTGAGCAGCGCCCATAATTCAAATTCCCATAATCGGTACAGCTACAGGGCCGCGATATATGATAATGATCTGGGGTGACGAGTTTTAGGCGTTTTTTCAGCATGTGTTGTTTAGAATGTTTGTACTTGACTCTCCGATTAAAAGATATAAGGTGTACTTGAGTGATGACAATATATTGTATATGTTCTTGTTTTTTGTTAAGTTGAATGGTCTTTAGTGATTGTTATATTATTTTGATACGGAAAAAATTAATAAAACAAAATAAAATAAAATAAATTTATAAACATATGTATATATTTAAAGTAGAATTACTTCACATTTTTAATTTGTTTCAAAAATTCATATTAGCTTTAGCAGCTAGACAAAAATATAAATATTATTTTGACAAAAAATATATAAAAAAAATAAAAAAATAAAGAATGTATCGCAAAGTTTAGCCACAGATATAGTTTTTGATATTTACTGTTGATCTCGTATAAGAAAAATGTAATGATTTTAAGTAAAGTTGTTAAGAATACTATTTAGCAATGAAACGTTAATTTAAAGTTAACATATAAATTAAATTAGCCACTATCGAAGTAAATATAAATAACGATAAATCTATTTTTCCTAATTCGAGCAAAAATTATACTCAATTGCATATGATTTAATGATATAGCTATTTAGGATATGGTATTTTTTTTGTTTCAAACTCTATTAGTAGATTTTAAATTTCAATAGAAATTCGGTTTATTTTTAGCAAAATCATATGTTTTTGAACAAAATTAAATTTATTAATAATTTGCGTTCAAAAAGTAAATATACGCGTACTTAACCACTTACGAAATTATTTAATTCGTTGATTTAATGCATGTTTATATGATCATTGCAGTTTGATTGTAACTGACGTGAATTTTAACACTTTCACTGCTACGCACGCAAATGTTGCGTGAGGCCGTTGTCAATAGCCAGGAGCTGATGCGTTTGCCTTTATTTTAGCAATTTGCACTTTTATTTTTAGTTTTAGAGTAGTGTTCAGTAAAATAAAATTTTGTACTACAATTAGTTACAAAATTAATAAGCATTGGCATTATTTATAAATTTTAATTTATTGTAAATTTGTTTCTAAAATATTATAACACCAAATTCAAATTTTATGAAAAACGAGAAATTCAACAAAATTATAATGAAACTTTAATGAAACATTTAAATTTAAAAACAAAATTAAAAAAAAAAATAATATTTGATCGAAAGAACGAGCATAAAAAAGTCTAGTGGTGGGATTGCATAACCTGGCCCATTAGCCCACCTGGCCAAGTGGGTTTGAATTTTGATATAATTTTTTTAAAATTTTCAAATAGCATTATTTAATATCTAGAAAGGTTTTATTTAATATTAAACGATTAGAAAAGTGTAGTTAAGGGCTTGGTGTAAGCAACACAAGGTTAGCAGTGAATGTGCTAAAGAAAAACGCCGTATGAAATATTTTATTTATCAATGTTTAAATTTTTACGGATAATGTGATAACACTGTTCTTTATTTATTTCGTTTTAATTGCGAAGTATGAAATGGCTGTTTAAATTTAAATTGTATTCTATTTTTGATTACCGTGTACAATAATATTGCATCACTGAGTACATCTATCGACGTGTGATGCAGTTGCGCTGCCAGTTATTTAATTATATTGTTAAGAGTTATTTATATTGGATTGTTGTGTAAATTTATTAGGTGTATATGTAAAATATTTTTGCTTTATGATATATATGGCTATGGGCTTATTCATTGGTTTTTTAGTCTTATTATCATAGGAGCTTTATTTGTTTCGGGTATGCAATTGTTTGTTTTGTATATTCATACAGATATATTTTTGAAATTTTGTACTTTTGTATTATATTATGTATATATACATATTTATTGAGACTAGTGCGACATAATGAATTATATTGCTGGGACGGATATATTTTTTGATATATTTGGAAGTTATTGCTGATTACAATAGTGATTTTAATCGGGAAAGCCAAAAATATATGTATTATTAAATTATAGCAGGTCTGAGAGCCGAAGTGGCCAAGTTATAGAACGGACAAAAACTATTGAAGTGACGATTACCTTTGATTGAATTTTCTTAATGTATTACTGGAGCGTTAATTAGCGAAGCCATAGCGACTCAATAACCCATGGAAAAATCGGCAAATTTTATCAAAGTTGTATATTTGTATCAAAAAATATAATACAAAAAATATGCTTGTTTTAACTTACAACACTCGAATAATTTAGAAATATAATCACGGTGGATAAAGGCGATATCTATGAAACGATCCTAGTCATTAAAATGGACGATCCTACAAATCATAGGTCCTGATTTTTTATGTATCTTATAATCAGATCCATTAAGAGAGTATTCTAGTCTAGAGACATAAATTTTATGCTATTTTTGAAAGGCCGTAAAAATGCAAACTTTATTAATTAATATTTTAAGAATAAAAAAAAATTAATATTTAGTCAAAAAATTAGCACATGACTATACCCACGATTTTAGCCCAGCAAATATATATACATATATTCATTATATATAAAATTTTCGTATTATGTTGTTACTCCTTCGAAACGGTTTGACCGATTTTTATGAAATTTTATAACGACGTTCAGTATGATTGAGAATAGGCCAACATCTATTATTCATAGACCCAAAAAGTAAGGGTTGGCTACCCCTAGAATTTCTTTCATTTTTTTGGACCAATTTTCTTTATTCTATTTTTATGTAATTTGTATTTAAAAACACCCCCAACACTAAACACTTATACCACAAACCCCTATTTCGCAATAGTCATTTTAGTAATCGAATCATTTTTCATCCCATTTTCAGTCAATGATCGTTTTATACCGAATTTCGATTAAGATGTTCTAAAACTTATGCAGAAGCTTAACTTTAACTTAAAAAAAAAATTAATAATAATAATCTGAATTTTTTGAACAAATTTGTTTTCTATTTTAATTTTTATTCATGACGACATAAGTCGCAAAGCCAAATAATGTATTGTATTATGATTATACCATACTTTTCTTCTTATATACTCAATTTTTCTTTTATGTAATATAATGTGGAACAAATAAATCTTTTCAAACAAAAAACAAAAACCATATTTTCCATACGAAGTGGGCAAACCTTTCAGTTTGATTCTATTAGCAAAAGATGGTCTAATTAATATTATTAATATAAATTTTATTTAAAATTGCAAAGCCTGGGTTTTTATTGTCTTTATAATCATCATATTTTCTACATATTCTTAAACAATTACAATAAATTAGTAATTTTTTGGCTTCTTTACAAATTCTCTAGAAATAATTTACATGACAGGGATTTGGGTATGAGCATAGTTCAAACTGAAGAGAAGTATATACAGAAAGTAATTTTAATTTGGAAAAATCTTCATGTTTCGAATAGTTAAGCTTAAAAAAAAAGAAAAAAAACGGATTTCTTTAAAAATTCTAGACTAGAATACCCCTTTAACTAAGCTATATTAACCGTGGTTAGATTTGTTTTAAAACGCCTGTCTTTATATTTGACTGTTACCGACTCAAGTGTGCCATATATTATCGCAATCGCATATTTAGGTTTTTATATTTTTTATTGATTTCTAGAAACATAATTCATAATTTTATGACAATATTCCAACCTCTTAAATTTAACAGTAAAACAGTACTGACATCGTAATTTAAGTACGCGTAAAATATATTAGGTTAGTAATAAATATATAAGTTTTGTCTATAGTGTATTTGTTTTTTTAGAGATTATTCAATAGCATTATCGTCGATGAAAATCAAAACGTATAGGCTATTTATTTTATTACCAGCAAAATATTCGTGAATAGACTGCATAATATGAACAGTTAGATGTGTTAATAATTTTATTTGAAGATTTGATATCAGCCGATACACCTCTATGAAACAGTTTTTTACAAATTTATTATTCTGCATAATAAAATAATTTTCATGCGTAACAAATTTATTTGCAAATAACCGATGTCAATGTTTAAGTCAATTACAAAAGTCTCAGAAAATTTCTTCATGAGGAACACTTATTTCTACACCGACCTTTCTGCACATACCCATATATATATATATATATATATATATATATATATATATATATATATTAGGGTGGTCCTTAATATGGACATTTTCGAATTTCCTTGCTCCCAAGGGCTCAAATGGTTCCAAATTGATAAAAAACAACTCTCTGAAAGTTTTAGCTCTTAAAATTAACTTTTAGATAGTGCGCAATTCAATCAAACTTCGTATGGAAAGAGCATGGAAAAAATTTTGAAAATTAAAAAAAAACAATTTTTAGGTATAACTTAGCGACAAATGAATTAAAAGTGAAAATTCGTCATTGAAAATTTGACGCTCTGCAAAATTTTTGAAAATTTTTTCATGCCATTTCCATACAAAATTTTTGATTGAATTGCGCTCTATCTAAAAGACAATATTAAGAGCTAAAACTTTCAGAGAATTGTTTTTTATCAATTTGGAACCATTTGAGCTCTTGGGATTCCCAATAACCTAGTTTTTCTCTATAATTTAAATATTCGAAATATTTTTATATAATATAGTATATATTAGGATAGAATTTGCAATGAGTCTAGTGCAAAATATAAATTACAATAATGTCATGTATATTATTTATATAAACCAGTATATATGAAGTTAATGGATAATGTAGTATTAAAAATTGAAAAAATAGTAGATAAATTTATAAAATAATGCTAAATATGAACTGTTAAATAACTATGTTGATACTAGTATACCTTATAACATTTTTTTCAAGATGTACTATATA